AGGCGCATAACCCGCTCCAAACGTTAGCTAAAAAGTTCGTTTTTGGCTAGTTTTGTAGGAAATTTTAAGTGAAACAGAATTATATAAAATTTCATAAGAACGTTATTGTAACCAACCGATTTACCTCGGTCACTTTGAGAGATATTAAAAAATATGAAATTTGGTATAACATTTTTCGAGAAAAACTATTTCTTATCGCAAATTGATTGGTTCAGATGTATTTTTGACTTCTCCAAGTTTTCCCCTTCAAAACAAATTAAAAATCACTCAAAACGGACCATTTTGAGCTGAGATACAGGGGAGAGACGCAGGCACTCTCGCTTCTCTGCGCTCTCGCCAAACTTTAAAGGCGCACAACTCGCTTCAAAATTTAGCTAGATAATTGAATTTTAACTAGTTTTGTAGGGAATTTCAAGTGGGTCAGATTGATATATTATTCATGAATATTGGTTAACTTTTCTTAGTTCTTTTTGCTATTATTACCAAGAGTCGAGAAAATCCAAAAAAATTCAGCTAGTTAAAAGTTTAACCTTGATTATCTCGGTTTCTCTAAAAGTTACAAAAAAGTGATTAACTAGTAAAATATGTAAAATTGAATTTTACATATTTTACTAGTTAACCACTTTTTCGTATCTCTATTCCAAATTGAGATAAATCGGTAGAAAATGGTAAACCAGAGAGATAATCAAGAAAAAGTGAGATCAAGAAAAGAAAGTGTCACTTTCGACCCCCACCTCGTTTCTTGATTTGCCTCCCTCATCAGAAAATCAGTAGAATTGAACTAATTGGCAAACGAGAGGGAAATTTCGAATGAAGAGTAGAAGTGAATGTAATACACTTGAATACGAAAGGAATGATGCTGTTTTACAATTTATATATATATATGTACAAGGGCAAAGTCAAGGTGTATGTGTGTTGTATGTAGAGATGATTTGAAACAAACGACACAAGAAAGTGAATTAGGAGAAGAATCGAATGACGAGAAGGCTGGAACTTTTTTCTTTTTTTTTAAAGTTGACCTTAGTTATCTAGGTTTGTAAACTTCGAGCTCATATATCTCATTTCCTGTAAAAGTTATCAAAAAGTGGTCAACTGATAAATTACTTATCATAATATCAGCAACATTTTATTAGTCAAACACTTTTTGATATCTTTTACAGGAACCGAGATAAATTAGCTCAAATTTTTAAGGGAAATCACAGGGGCCAAAGATTGGCTATCAACTTTGAGCCCATATATCTCATTTTCTGCAAAAGATATCAAAAAATAGTGAGCTGATAAAATGTTGCTGATATTGTGATAATCATTTTTTAGTTAACCACTTTTTGGCATCTCTTACAGGAATCGAGATAAATGAGCTCAAGCTAAGGGGGTCACTTAATTAATGTTAACGAGCTACGTGGTCTGATGGCGTAGGAGTACGGTAGAAACAAGAGAAAAAATGACAAGGGTTATCACCAAACACTTTACCTGTACACCATTACGCAAAAATACATACTTTTTAATTTTTAGAAACCTTTAAAATTCATACAGACCTTCCCTGCTCTAACATATGTAGAAGTCTTGGAACTTTTGAAAAGCAATTTATTTAGGTTTGCAGACAAGATATAAGAAAATGATTAATTAATAAAATGTGTAAAATCAAATTCTACACATTTTATTAGTTGACAACTTTTTGATAGCTTTTTTAGGAATGCAGATATTTAAGATTGAAGTTATGAAGATTCTAGGCAAGAGGTATTATAGGAGGGTGATGAGGGAAACTTCTACCCTAATTGTCTCGCTTCCTAATCGAAATTTCAAAAAGCAATAAATTAGTAAAATATAGGCAATTAAATTATACTCATTTTACTAATTGACAACTTTTTAATATATTCTCCAGGAATCCAGATATTTCAATTTTAAGTTAAGCTGTTCGGCAAGAGATAGGAGGATGAGGAAAATTTCTACCCAATTTATCTCGCCTCCTAGTAAAAATTTCAAAAAGTGTTAAATTAATAAAATATTCAAAATTGAATTTTACACATTTTACGTGTTTACAACTTTTTGATATATCTTCTGGAAAGCTAGATATTACCGCTGCGAGTCATTGGTTGCACTGAAATAGATTTAACAGCTTCAAACTCAATTATCTCGGTTCCTAATTAAAATTTTAAAAAGCAATAAACTAGTAAAATATTAGGTTGGCGGGAAAGTCTTTGTCACTTTTTCAATAGTTTATTTCTCAAAGAAAAAATAACCGAATAATTAATTATATTGTCCATCATTATCAACAACATGTCTCCAACGTTCCCTCAATTTATGGATTCCATTGCGGTAGAATCCAGCCGGGCGTGAGGCAAAGTATTGTTTGAGTGCCGCTTCGACCGCTCCACGGGAATTGAAGCTTCTTCCTTCGAAGGCACGTGTCATATCGCCAAATAACCAATAGTCGGAAGGAGCAAGATCAGGAGAATACGGGGGGTGAGGGAGAACATTCCATCCATATCCCATCAGCTCCTGCTTCACTTGTTTCGAAACATGTGGGCGAGCGTTATCATGTTGATAGTACACTTTCTTGTCTTTCAGGGCCGAACGGTCGACTGCTTTCTTGAGGTTTAGTAGTTGAGTAGTGTAGAGGTCTCCAGTATATTTTTTTGCCCTGGGGCAGAAGTTCCCAGTAGATGGGGCGGTCCACTCCCCACCACACAGAGAGCATAACTTTTTTAGGATAAAGGCCGGGTTTGGGGACATCCTGTGGGCTCTCTCATTCTCCAACCCAATGGGATTTCCTGTGGTGATTATCGTAGAAGACCCACTTCTCATCTCCGGTTATTAGCCGGTCCAGCCATCGATCGCCCGCGTGGAGAGTGAGAAGAGTAATCGAATCGTCGACTCGGCGGTCAAGGTTGGCTTGAGTCAGGTGATGAGGTATGAATCGACCAAAAAGTTTTCTCATTCCAAGAGACTTCAAACCTTCAAGGACTGTGCTATGGTGAACTCCGAATGTGACAGCTAGTTCACGGCTAGATTGAAATGGATCCGATTCCAATGCGTGCTTCAGCTTGTCCAAATCCAACTCACGGGGTCTCCCAGAGCGATCCTTTTCATCGAGCGAGAAGTCATCTTTTTCGAAACGATGGAACCAATTGCGAATAGTATTGTAGTGAGGGGCATGTGTGTTGTACACATTCTTCAAGAAAGTTTCCGAATCCTTCATCGTGGTGTGAGATAGGAAGAGGTAAATCAAAACATGTCTGATGTGAATAGCAGTGGGAACAAACATATCGTTTCAATTACAGATGAGGAGCAGGGAAGGAAATGGGGACTTGTTTATATGGAAGGTTTTTATCACCTTGTTATTCACTAGAGTCGATATCATACACAGCCTCCATATACGAGAACAGTGATTAAACAAACAGAGTGACAAAGACTTTCCCGCCAACCTAATATGTAAAATTGAATTCTACACATTTTTTTAATTTACACAATTTTGATATCTTAGCTATAAACCGAGATAATTAGGAGCGAAATTCCTTTAGTCCCATTTACAGTAGATCTTGTTCGATCTCACTTAACTTGGTTCATTTAAAAGTGCATCGACAGGTTCAGTTAACTTTGACTCTAATTATCTCGCTTCAGAAAAAGATAGAACAAATTTATAAATCAGTAAAATGTAGGAAATTAAATTTTACATATTTTACTAATTTATTCTTTTAATTAGCTTTTCGAAGAGCCGAGATGATGAGGGTCAAAGTTAGCATTTCCTCTGAAGAAGGGAGGGTGGCGCTACTCTGTCTGTGCACTCTTTATGCTGAAATATCTCGATTCAGAAACAAGATAAAACAAATTTGTAAATTAGTAAAATGTAGAAAATTGAATTTTTCACATTTCAATAGTTTACAACTTTTTGATATCTTAGCTATGAACCGAGATAATCAGAGACAAAGTTAGCGGGCCTATTGAATAAGCAAGGGTGGCGCTAGTCTGGCTGTAACACGTTGACCTTTATTAAAAAAGTGACAGAACAAATTATTAAACTAGTAAAATGTAGAAAATTGAATCTTACACATTTTAATAATTGACACTTTTTTGATATCTTAGCTATGAACCGAGATAATTAGGAGCGAAATTCCTTTAGTCCCATTTACAGTAGATCTTGTTCGATCTCACTTAACTTGGTTCATTTAAAAGTTACATCAATTTTAAAAACTAATGAAATGTGTAAAATCAAATTTTACACATTTTCTTAGTTAACAACTTTTTGATATCTTAATTATGAGCAGAGATAATTGAGCTTAAAGTGACCCATTGAAATCCCATACCGCTTTCCCTTTGAACCTAACTAAACTCTAGGAAACGAGATAATTAAGGTCAAAGAAGCAAACTGGAATTAACCCAAAACATATTTCCTTATTTTCCCTCAAGTGATCACATAGTCTTGATCATCATCAAACACAAATCACACTCTGTATGGGTCTACTTTCTATACATATTTATCTATTCATTTGATCTTTGAAAAACAAAAAATAATAGAAACTTATCTTCATTTATCGACTCAAGACATAAAAACATGTTTGGGGAATTCGAAAAAAAAATGAGAGTGCATAATCTCTTTTAGATTCTTAAGTGACCAAATCCTCCTCTGTTCCTCAAACTGTGTCTTTCGGGAAGAAATTAAATTCATAATTAGTTCAGATTTTGAGTCATATGCTAATTACAGGATAACGTCAGGAAAGAGGATTTGAAGCCGCTCCGCTACGCGGCCGCGCAATTTGAGCTCAATTATCTCGGTTCCTATGAGAGATATTAAAAAGCTGTCAACTGATAAAATATTGCTGATATTATGAAAAACATTTTATCAGTTGATCACTTTTAGGTATCTCTCATGGGAACCGAGATAAATTGGGTCAAAGTAGACAGTTTGGGTGGGCTTCTATAAAGCGTTACTGACCAGTTACACAATCAAAAATAAATAATCTAAAAATGCATTTTGGATTTCCTAAACCTAGTTTCTTGTCACTTCTTACGTTCTCTGATTGTTAAACTAGAAAATCAAACCCCTCTTGTCAAATGTTGTACAAAGAAAATGGAGAAAAAGGAGATGAACTCGTAAAACAAAAGGTGGAAATCAGAAGAATCACAAGTGTGACATTGGCTGCTGTTCGTTTCACTCTTTAACACTTACAATGTACAAGAATCTAGAAAAAGAAGTCTTGTGATGACAATCTTTCGAGAAGAACACGTTTAGTTAGGTTCAAAGGGAAAGCGGTATGGGATTCCAATGGGTCACTTTAATCTCAAGTATCTCTGCTCATAATCAAGATATCAAAAAGTTGTTGACTAAGAAAATGTGTAAAATTTGATTTTACACATTTCATTAGTTTTTAAAATTGATGTAACTTTGAAATGAACCAAGTTAAGTGAGATCGAACAAGATATACTGTAAATGGGACTAAAGGAATTTCGCTCCTAATTATCTCGGTTTATAGCTAAGATATCAAAATTGTGTAAATTAAAAAAAATGTGTAGAATTCAATTTTACATATTTTACAAAGTCAACGTGTTTACAGCCAGACTAGCGCCACCCTTGCTTATTCAATAGGCCCGCTAACTTTGTCTCTGATTATCTCGGTTCATAGCTAAGATATCAAAAAGTTGTAAACTATTGAAATGTGAAAAATTCAATTTTCTACATTTTACTAATTTACAAATTTGTTTTATCTTGTTTCTGAATCGAGATAATTAAGCATAAAGAGTGCAGAGACAGAGTAGCGCCACCCTCCCTTCTTCAGAGGAAATGCTAACTTTGACCCTCATCATCTCGGCTCTTCGAAAAGCTAATTAAAAGAATAAATTAGTAAAATATGTAAAATATGAAAAATTTAATTTCCTACATTTTACTGATTTATAAATTTGTTCTATCTTTTTCTGAAGCGAGATAATTAGAGTCAAAGTTAACTGAACCTGTCGATGCACTATTTAGGGCGCCTTGTTTAATCCTACTTATCTCAATTACTATGAAAGCTATCTAATAACCATTAACAAGTGAAATGTACAAAATAAAATTCTACACATTTTACTTGTAGGCACTTTGCTTCTATCTCTTATCACAATTCAGATAATCAGCGTCTAAAAAAGAATTGACAAGATCAGTTGTAATTGATCTTCATTTTTACACAATTACAAATATAACCCGAACAAGATGATGGGTAAGAAAAAAGAAAAAAAAGAAACTATTTAAAAAAGAAGAGGAAGAGGTGAAAAAGAAGAAAAGAGAGAGAAGAAAAATGGTAATCTTTGACACGCCAGATCTTCTTCTACTGAACGAAAAGAAACCAGACTTTTTGCATCAAACTGTGGTGGCCAAAGAAGAAGAAGAAGAGGTAGAAGAGGTGTGTATAGTAGTAAGAAGAAGAAGAAGAAGAAATCGATTTTTGTAAAAAAAAACGGGAAAGCAGGACAAATTTGGTTTTTAGCTTCTTCTTCTTCTTCTTCTTTTTTGACCTTGCTAAAAAGAAGAAGAAGAAGAAGAAGACGACGTCAGAAATTCAGAATATTCAGAATAAAATAGAATTTCCAACCTTTTTTGGTTACTGTACTTTCTTTGGATAAGAAGAAGAAGAAGATATAAAAACCGGAAAGTACATCTAGACACATTCTGATTCAGATGACGTGATGGCTGTTGATGTTCGGGAAATAATGATTTGATTAAATTAAAAAAGAAGAATAAGAAGAAGAAGAAAGTTCAGCACCTTTTTGGCAAGAAGTGGGCTACACCACTTCTGTAGATCAAAAAACCAAAAAAAAAACCATTTTGACCAAAAATGCCGATTTTTAAAAGTTTTTGATCTTGCCCATTCCTTTTCAGTGGTCTTTTCACACTTGAATGATCGTGAACACGTTCAATTGCCGCCGATTTTCTTTAAAAGAGAAAAGAATTTGAATTCGACCTTCGTCATGCCAATCACATCAATTTCTCTAAAAATGGCCATTTGCATAGAACCGAACCCAAAAAGGTGATTGATTGGTTTAGAACACAAGGACAAAAGAAGAAACAAAAAAGAAAACATGGGTTTGCCGCCAGTGGGGATCGAACCAGGGAGTGGACGCACGACGGGAGAGAGTGCTACCGTTTGCGCCAAGGGTGCACATTGAAGTGAAAGACGTTACAGGTATATATCTTGAAGGTAAAGCCCGCGCGAAGAAATAAAAAACATTTGCTGAAGCGAGGAGTCGATCTTTCAACACCAGGAGGCGGCGGATTGAAAATCAATCGCGTTGCCGCTTGCGCCCGGGCTCACTAAAATCAATAAGGCGTAGTTGTAGTAGATAAAGCTAGCCGCGCAGAAGACCTAAAAGAGTGCGAAGATCAAAAATTTGAATTTGAAAAAAAATAGGAAGTTTTGAAGTTTCATTCTTCAGATTGTGATCTCGACTTTCCAATCAATCTAAAGTCATTCAGACACAAGGAACAGGTTATGCGTTTTACATTATTTACACCTTCTGAAAAATGTCACATTCATTTTTGAGACAAAAAAGGAGAGAACACAGTGTGAGAAAAGGGGGGAAAATTGATATAAATTAGGAATAAAAATAGATAAGAAGATCAACAAATTATTTCTTCGAGCTGAAAAGGACTCCACTGGAATTGTTGGATAGGGTAGATCCGAATGGGGTTGAGGTGGTTGTGGTGGTTGGTTTCGATCCGAAGAGTGATGTGGTTGCTGACGTCGTGGTTGGAGCTGTTGAGGTGTTCGTTGTGGAGGATCCGAAGAGGGAGCCACCAGAGAATGCTGGCTTCGTTGTGGAGGAGCCGAAGAGCGTTGTGGTGCCTGAAATTCGCAAGTTCTGTAATTTCAAGATTCTGGAATTCTGAAATTTCAAGATTCTGGAATTCTGAAAACCTGAAACTCCAATATTCTGGAATTCTGAGATTCTGGAATTCTGAAATTCTGAAATTCCGATATTCTGAAATTCCAAGATTCTGAAATTCTGATATTCCGATATTCTGAAATTCCGGTATTCTAAGATTTTGGAATTCTGAAATTCCAAGATTCTGGAATTCTGAGATTCTGGAATTTTAAGATTCTAAATCACGAAAACTCAGAATAGCAGAATACCAGATTCTTGGAATTTCAGAATTTCCAGATTTTCAAAAAATTCCGAACCTCAGAATTTCCAAAATTTTCAAAATTTCCAAATTTTCAGAATTTCCTAACTTCAGAATTTCAGTGTTTTCCGGATTTCAAATTTCCAGAATCTCAGAATCGCTGAATCTCGAATCTTTAGAATTTCAGAATGCCCATAATTCCCCAGATTTTCAAAACTTTCAGAATTTCTGAAAGTTTCAGAATATCAGATTCTCGAAATATCAAAATTTCAAAAAATTCAGAATTTTAGCGTTTTCAGAACTTCCAGAATTTCAGATTTAAAAAAAATTTCAGAATTACTTAATTTCAGAATCATTTCAAGAATTTCAAATTCTTGGAATTTCCAGAATTTCAGTGTTTCACGAATCTCTCTCTCAACTAACCTGTATTCCCGAACAAACTGCTTCCTCCACCCAATCCCAATCCTCCAGTACTGGCAGTCGGTGCCGTTGCCGGTGCTCTCAGAGCACTTCCAATGATAGCCAAACTCGATTGCGATGGGAAGAACTCGGCTCCCTCACTGACAGCACTCACTGGGTCCACATTATTCAAAGTGGTAGCATTCCACTTCCGAAGCTGGGTGTATCCCTGTTCGATCAGAAGATCCCTCACTTCTTCGATATCCTTTCCCAACTGCTCTATATGGAAATCCGCACTGCTCACAGTCGAATCGCAGCGGAGGAAGTAGTTGTCGAGTTCTGTCATTGTGAGCGACGGTTCTCCTTTGAGGAGTTTGTCGAAGCGAGAACGCATGAAGTTGACACGCTCCTGAAGCGCACGCATCTCCAGATCGTACAGTTGGAATCGTTCGACGAGGTGTCTGCAAAGAAAATCTATTTGAAAATTTCCTAATAGTTCAAAGTCTCCAAATGTGTAAAAAAGTTCAAAAAATCGCTTCAAAAATTCCCGCTAAAATTGAAAAAATCTCTGTTTCCAGCGGAAAATTCGATAATTTTCGGTCATTTTTCAACGATTTTCAGCTCATTTTCAGCCAAAAAAAGTGTTTTTTTTTCATGGTTTTCGGCGCGGAGGGAAAATGGATTTTTGAAATTTATTTTGAATTTTTGAAATTTAAAGCTATTTTTGTCTGAAATTTAATGGTTTTTCGTGAAGAATACTGTAGAAAACCTTGTAGTTTGTAGTTTGTATGCAAACATTTTTGAATTAATTCGCTTTCTACAGTAATCTACAGTAATCTTAAACACCGTTCCATCAAATTTCAGACAAAAAATCGAAAAAATCGAAAAAAAGAATCTTCAAAAATAGCTGAAAAACCTAAAAAGGTCTAAAAAGTTCGCCAAAAAATCGAAGAAAAAATCCGTTTTGTTCTCGAAAAATCGAAAATTTTTCGAATGTTTTAGGATTTCCAGTTTTGGCGGGAATTCAAAAAAAGATTCCCAAAAAACTCACTGCTTGATCGCATCGGCATGCATAGTCTGATTGGCAGTGCTTGCCTGCTCCTGCACCCTCTTCGCCATGTTTGCCTGCTGCTTATCATGAGCCACCAATTGAGCAACACCCTCAGAAGCCGTCGTGGCATTGAAGACGTCGCGCCGTACGTCTCCAATCAATCCACGTGCCTTTTCGATCATCTCCTCAATCACAACACAATCCACACTCATCGTTTCACTCTCGTCCATCACATCTCGATTCTTCTTCAGACGATCCTCAATCAATGGGAGCATGTCTCTGATCAGTGTCTGCGTCTGCTGCCATTCGTTCTCTTTCGTTACGTCTTTATCCAAAGCTCCTGGGGCTGATGACGTGGTGGTGCCGCCTGTAGTAGTCGTGGTGCCACCAATGCTCTGATGGTGTCACTTTTTTATTTCGACAATAGAGAGAGAGAGAAAGAGAGTGACAGAA